GTTTGCCTCAGGCTCTGCTTTCTGGGAAACACACACACACACACCCACACACCCCACATACACACCACACACACACATCACCCATACCACATACACACACACCACACACATTTGTGTACATGAACACACACTACACACACATACAAACACATACACACACACCACATACATACACATGCACTCACACACACAGACACAGACACACATGCATGCTCACACACATGCACACATGCATACGCACGTTTCCTGAAGGTCTTGGTGCAATGAGCCTGTCAGGAAAATTACTTTCAGAAGTTGTGTCTTTAGACCACTTCTCTTGCCTTTTAATGGATACTTGGAATATATTATCAAAAGGAGCATTTAGAGGCACAGGCCTGGTTGATACTATTAGTTGTTTCAGTTCCTTTTAATTGAGGCTTCATTAAATTCTTATATGTTTTATTTTTATTAGTGAGCCTTGGCGAGGAAGGAAAACTTCATGTCTGAGTTTCATGAAAGGCATCTACAGATGACTAACCTAGAGCGGTGGTTCTGTCTAGGCCTCTCTGTCCTTCTATCCCCTCATCAAACTTCTTAGATATATCCTACCACCAATGTGGGGCTGAGCAAAAGGGGATTTCATGTTGTTCTTTTGAAGTCACATGGGCATTTAGCACACCTAATTGTAACTTAAAGTCCATATTAAAATTGGAGACTTTGAGGACCACATGGCCTGATGAACCTGGCGGTCTGGCTATTTATCAAGGCAACAGCAAAGCTGAGCGCAGTGTCTTGTACCACAGAGGGTCCTCTGACTCTAGAAGAGGTCTCTGCAGGTGACAACGGGGACATGGCTTGCACATGCTTCAAGAGGGAGCTGTGCACCAAATGAGGGCAGACCCGGAGCTGGCTGCTGCAGCAGGGAGGCTGACTTCAGTTGGTGAAGGAGGAAGAGGCTGCCAGTCTCCCAGACACTCATCCTATGGAACAGGATGCCATGTCTGTGGGGGATAGAGAGCTCCAGGGGATCCCAAACGTGAGTGTTTGATGAAAGTGATCTTGTTAGGATGGGATGGAGCAGGAGGTGAGCAGAAGAGGACCCAAATGAGAACACCTGGTCCAGTACCTTTGACAAAGTAGATTCTCCTGGGAGTAAATGCTGAGAGGTCCCAGGACACAGGTTTTGCTGTGGCTGAGGTTCCAGTACCTTTGACAAAGTAGATTCTCCTGGGAGTAAATGCCGAGAGGTCCCAGGACACAGGTTTTGCTATGGCTGAGGTGGAGGCTGCGTTTTGGCCTCCAAGGCAACACCCCTGCCTCCAGAAAAGGCAATAAGAACCCCTCACACACATCAGCCTCTCCTGTGCTTGGTGCTCACCTGAAAACACCCAGCCAGGTTTATGCTGACAAAAGCTATGAAAGGACATGCCCTCAAAACTCTGAGATACACTAGTGTTTGCTTTTCTGAATTATTCTGAAACAGTCTTTTCAATACTTGACTTGCATTGTGGTAATTTGGCAATTGGAGTGGTAAATTGAAACTAGATATATTTATACAGAGTGACCTGTCTCTGCTCTCTGCATGTGCTGATATATTGTTATCTGGACATCTGAGCTGGATGGCAGTATTGGCATTCACGATACCATTGAACCTTTTCTGATTTCCTAGAAAAGGGACAGAATTCCCGAATCTGCCAGGTTTGCCTGTTCATCGTGTTTGTTTCCTTTAGCACTCTAGGTAATTATAATAGATTACATCCTTAATGTTTTGTTCAGTGGGCAATGTAGTATCAAGATGATGATGTCATAGTTGGAGCTGTGGAGGATGGAGAGAAGAGCCAGCTCTTCTCTTGTCTTGGGGTAAGAGTGTGGGTGGAATGAAAAGGAGGCCTCTTTCATTAAAAATAAAAATTTCCTTCATTCTCCTTTAGAGAATGACCTTTGTCTGTTCATCCATTCACTCATTTCCCTGCCAATCCACTTATCTATCATTCATCTACCAACATCTGTCCATCTAGCAATCATCCATTAACCTATCCATTCACTCATCCATCCATCCATTGACTCATCCATTGATCCATCCATCTATTCATCCATCCACCAATTCACCTATCACCATCACCCACCCATCCTGTTGATCTACCCATTAAATGATCCATCCATCCATCCATCCATCCATCCATCCATCCATCCATCCATCCATCAACCCATCCACTTATCCATCCACAAACACCTCCATTAGTCTATCTATTTATTGATTCATCCATTTATCCATTGATCCATCAATCCGTTCTTCCAGCCACATAGTCATTTGTTTCAGCGTAGTTTAATGCTGGTACTTGCACTATATATAAACTTAAAAAAAAATCAAGCAACCATCCTACAGTTCAGCCTTTTGTTATTGGTCTGACCACTTCTTCCTATAATCCAAGTGTTCTAGATACGTCAAACCCGTGGGTGCCAATGAGGTCACATTGTTTTCCTTAACTGTGGTGGTGGCTCAGGAGACATGTGACACATAGTATGAAGAGACACTCCTGTGTAGTGGCTAAGAGCAGGACCTGAATGCCTGGCTTGGCATTTCATAGCTTTGTGGTCTTGCACAAAGTTCTGCTCTGTGTCTTAGGACACATTGGGTAAAGTGAGGCTGATGAAGCTGATGAGAACACATACCTCATTAAAGACACTGTCAGAATTCACAGAGTTGGTGGTGTCTGATGGCCCCAGGGCCTGTTCTGGACTATCTGCTCCTTAGTCCAGGGACACTTGTCACCCCATGTAGTGGGACTGTAAAGTAAACAGGTATGAGGACCAGACTCTGGGGATTTGGAAGCTTCTGGACACCCTCCACTGCACTCAGTCTTCCTTTGAAAATGTCACTGGGTCTTTGAAACAAGATGCTTTCAATGATGTACTTTTTTCTGTCAGGATCATTTTCTGATCTGAGACGGCATCTCCCATGACACCAATCACCTCCATTTTGTTTCCCTCATCCAAGAGCTGACATAAAAAACCCCATCTAAGAAATCTTGAAAGAATGACTCTTTTTCTTCCCTGTGCACATCTCATTCAGTCTTCCTCTGGTTTCTAAAATGTGACCTTTTATGGAGCTGGGCGGCATTTGTGGCATCTGAAAGGTATTGGTATTTAAGGCATTTAAAGCGGACGGGGCTGGGCCTGCACCCTCTTGGCACTTGCATCCCATTTACTTTGTCTTTATTCTGCCTTGAAAATCTCACCTTTCATTCTGCACAATTTCTCTTTTATCTCCATCCATCTATGAATTATTCAAGGGAGGTCTTGGATAGTGGGCTTGCTCATACCCAGAGTGGCAGCTGCGTCCCTGATTTGGGTGGTTCAATTTTCATCAGGAACCATGCATTTACCAGCTTTGTGTGACAGAGGACAAGAGGTGGCCTCACATTAAGGACAGACAAAAAGAAACGGCCATTTGATACCCGTGCATTTGCTCCAGGCAAGGAATGTGCTATCTGGTTTAAACTGAGCTGGCTATGTTACAGCCTTCGCCAGGTAGGGGATGAACGCCACGGCAGGAACAATTGATGTCTGGCTGGAGGTCTAACCCTGGCAAGTCTATCACTGTGGAAACTCAAAGGTTCCAAATTCAATACGAAGAAGGGGCCAGCTTTCTGTGAACTTCCCTGTCACCTCGTCCTCCCTCCCTGTTCCTTCTGGAGAGGGGCTTGTCTCACTGGGCGGAGCACAGTGTCTCTGGTCAGGTGGACGTTTGCTTTCAGCTTAGCAAGGGTGTGGGCTGAGGGTGTTGGTGATGTGCTGGGGGTTACCTTTGGTGTGCTGTCTGGGTAATCATCTCCTCAGGGCAGTAAGCATTCGCAGGACATGCACCTATACTGACATTCGCATTTGTCATTGACTCTGTTTACACTGATGAGAACCTGACTAATGACCCAAAAATTCCTTATGACAACATTGAGCACTGAAGGGCACTGATTCCCCTCCTAGGAGGTTGTTGGTAGACTGGTCTTGGACCCATGTGTGAACTCGGAAGTCATCATTACTTCTTGGGGTCACTTATGGTGGCTTGTCCTTTCTGGTGGCTGTCTGTCTTTCCAAGACCCCTTTACTGTGGTTATGTCACAGTGGTAATTTCTACAGGACACCATTGGCTCCATGCTTCCTACTGGCCCCATTTCCTTCTTCTGGAAATTAGAGTCATTGCAACCTCTTCCTGTCTTCTCAAATTGATGCTTCCTGACAATTGTCAAACACTTGGACCGACAAGATGCATCTTCCTCCATGGGTCAGAATAACTGCACAGACCATGATGAGCTTTGAAGAGACATGCTTTCTGCTTATATGTGTGTTGTGTTTCTCATATATCTTGAGAACTCTCAAGGAATCTCCCAGACTGATGCAAATCTAACCTTAAAAGTTATTTCTTCAGACTGAGTTTAATTAGGGATGACTAAAATTCACTATATACCTGAACAAAAATGTCAAAGAACAAAAAAAAGATATTAAAAATAGCTCATAATGTTTTCCATACTTCTTGCCAAACTGGACAAATGGAAATACCCAGGACAGACGTAGTCAATGATAGATAAAGTGGATCAGTAGTGGGAAGAACGATCAACATAAGAGTCCCTACAATTAACATAAGAGTCTCTTGTGCCTGGTATAAGAACAGAGTGGTGTGAGACCAGCCTCGGCAGCCCTGGGGTTGGCACATGGCCTTGGCTATTGTTCTCCTTTTTGGATGAGGTTGCGCTCAATCAACAGTCCTTACCATCCGGCTTTTCATGCAGCTTCTGAGCTGTGTTCAGCCAGCAGCGGACACTGACAAAGGAGGCGGGAGGCAGCTTCCATAGGTCCTGGTTTGGAGTCACTGTTTCCAGAGCACGGTGCTTTCACTCTCTAAGTTATAGTAACTCTGAACTTAAGGTGATATGAGAGATATTTGAATTAGCAGAAAAGACAAAAATAGTCCTAAATATATCTGATCATTTTTTCTCTTCTCTTAAAATGTTTTTTTTTTTTAGAGACAAAGTGCTGGAGCGACCAATGGAAAAGACAAGACACCAGGAGATAATGGTAAGATGGCAGGAAAGGTCCTGCTGCCTGTCCACCCCCCCTGCCTCTCCCTGGGCATGCATAACTCTGAACCACGCCTTCGGCCCAAATCAGCTTGCTATTTACACCTGTGCTTCAGTTTAGAGTGGCTTTTAGCAACTCACAGTGAGCCCTGTGGTCCGGCTTTGCAAAGAAAAGCCGAGCAAGCTAAATGTGATGCTAAGAGCAGTCTCCCTCCCAGAAGAGGACTCCCATTTTGGGCGACATGTTAATTACAATGCAAATATAGTTCTCTGCTTTCTTCATTAGGGTTGGTGAGAATCCACCCGGGTTGTTGTGAGGCTAAAATGAGATCAAATGAGATAAGTGCTTTGAAAACTGTGAGGTGCTCAGCTACTAGAAGGAGGTGGGAAACTGGCTTCTGCCCTTCAGAGCACTCAGAACCCAGCGCTGGTCTCAGGGGTGGAGCTGAGGCAGGAGTCTTGCTTTTACTGTAGAGTCACCCACAGATAAAACCATAGGGTGCTGGGAACATGCGCCTCCCTTCTCTCCAGGCTTCACTGGGAACAATCTTCAGTTGCGGGAATGAGCTTCATATTTTTATGGAAACAAAAGATTGGTTTGGAAGAGCTAGATTTGGGACAGAGGACGCTGCATAATAGTGAGCCACTTCATCCACAATACCTGGGGACACGACAGTGTTACTCTGAGGACACTAGATTCTGGATGTTCATAAATTTTATGAATTACAAAATGTGGTCTCCTTTTGTGGAAAACCCCTGCTGCCCCCACTAAGTGGTAGAGATGCTGGAGTCCACCAATCAAAGTGTGGATCACAGATGAGACTCAAGTGGAGAACATCCTGCTGTACTGTCCTGGTCAGGGCCAGAGCTGTGGAGGTGACAATGACCTCAGAATGGGTGCTGAGAAGGAAGGATGGTGGGTCTTCCCAAACCCAAGGGTGCCTCATTTTACATCCAGAAAATTTCTGTCTCCTGTGCAGGACTGAGGGAACATGTGGGACACTGGCAAGGAGATCAGAAAGCTGAGGAGAGAGCAGGAAGGAGCTTAAAAGGGAGGAGGAAGGTTGGAGCTATTGGTTTAAATGAGGAAAGGGTGTCTGTCTGTCACACAGAACATCCCTCATTGAGGCTCCCACTGATTTTCCTGGTCACAGAGTTATATCCACCTGTCAACTGAGGTTTGTGTCCACAGCCTCTCACAGCGTCAGGACTACAGTCTTTAGCATCCAACTACTCCTCAGGGTCACCAACTTGTTACTATAACTTCACTGTAACCTTAAGAGTGCCAGAAGATCTCACAGACCTTTAGTGCATCTTGGCTTAGCTGGTGATGGTTTCTCTTCTGGAAATGAGAGTAGAGCAAGTTTTAAAAGTTTGCTTATCACTAAATAGGAATAAACATTCTACCTGTTAATACAAGGAATTCTTATTTATGAAAAGCTCCTATTTTCAGAGTTCGAACATATCTAGTGCAAAGAGCAGTGGGGTTTTACATCTCTTGCTAGTGTGTGGCCGACAGGGGCCGGCTGAGCTTCCCTGCCTGCTTACTGTGTCTGTTGCAATGCCTCAAGATGTGCAGCTTCTGGAAAATTCCACCATGTACCTGGGAGAGAACATGATTTTAGGAAGGGAATAAAAACCTTTTATGATCCAACTGCATCTTTTATAATATCTTTTATGAGATTGTCCCTGGCCCACACTTTGAGCCTGTTCCTGTTCCAGTATGAGCCCTGGTTACCTGAGTAGCCTGGAGCCTGATGATGAGGCATGGTGATGGCTGAGTGGGCACCAAGCTCTCCTATGACCCATGCTGCTGTGTCCTGGCTTTCTCCTGCCATGCCGTTGGTCCTTCGGGGCATGTCTGCATGCCTGGGCTTTGTACCCACAGGCAGGATTGGCTTTTATGAAGGATGCACCTTTCTGCCATTCAAAAGATGGAATTTCTGCCTGCTTTAAAAATACATTTTTATTATTTAATTTTTTAATTATTTAATAATTATTTAAATTTTTGAATTAAAAGTTGGTTCTCATCAGTAGACATGGAGCAAGCCTCTCTTGGAGGTATAAAAATTAATCAAATGGAAAAAGTCAAGATGCTTCGAATAAGGCCTTTCATTACATAAACCTAGATACTAAAGGAGATTTGCTTCTAAGTGGCAAAAAGGAATCAGAAGTTATTTGATAATTATAGGATAATGGCACTATGTAAATCCATATTATTATAAACAAAATATACCTTACTTTGAGGAAAAGCAGTTCTTACATATATTTGTATATGATACATTATTATATTAGTAAGCCTTTTGGAGGGTTTTATCTCTAAAAATGAGCAAAGACAATAAAGGCTAGCAGTAGTCCAGAAAAGAGTGCACTAAAATGTTCCAGAAGTAGGGTAGAACCAATTTCCCTAAAGAGTCCAAGTTACTCAACTTCTTATTCTCAAATTCCTGGGTCTTGGAATTTCTGTTTTAGCTTAATATTAAATCACATTAAAATTCAACTTGCTTTACTCCGTCAGAACAATTATCAAGGGAGATCTATTATGTTAATGTATGTTTCCTGTTAATATCAAATGAAGCTGCCTACACATGTTAAAGGAGCAAGGACCCATGAGAACAGACACATGCAGCATGGAACACGGAAAGACTATGAGAGCCACAGAGCACAGCGGTCCTTCATTTTAAAAGCAGGATTTCCCAGTTCTATTAGCGTCGACAAGCCAACATGCTATTGTTCTAAATATGGATTTAGTTGAGGCCTCTGTTTGAAATATAAGGCCGTGACAACTTTGGGAGTGACCTGTGGGTCTTGGAATGGTTTGCATCAGGAAACATGGCTGTCTCAAAGCTTCAGAAGGGCATTGCCTTCTGGGCTCCACTGACACTATGTACTTAAGGCTATCCCTAGAGGGCTCCTGGCTAGGGATAGATTTCCAGCAATTCTTGCTGTCGCTATCATCATAGCACCTACTGACACAGAATATGACACCTATCCATTTTTTTACTGTCCTGGACACCCCCAAAGTCTTCCTCACTCTCCTGAGATATCAGCTCACTGAAGCCCAATGTCCCCCGTGTTTCAAGACTTTGTACAGTCATTTGATGTAATGTGGTAAATTTAAAATTTTAATTTAAAAATGTTTATTTTTATTGTTTTTAATTATTTGTGTGTGTGTTGGGAGTTGTGCACATGACTGCAAGTATCTGCAGAGGCAATAGATCTCCCTGGAGCTAGAGTTACAGGTGCTTGTGAGCTGCCTGATGGCGGTTCTAGGAATATAACTCAGGTCATCTGGAAGAACAGTAAGTGCTCCTAACCACCTCGCCACCTCGCCAGCCCATGGTTGGCAGTTTTGTTGTTAATATTAGTATTATAATTTCTTTGGCAAGTATATGTGCTCTTGTGTGTGCAAGTGCATGTGTGTGGAGGGCATCTTCCTCCACCTTTTTTTTTTCTTTGACAGAATCTCTCACAGCCTGGAGCTCACTGATTTTGCCAGGCTGGCTGACCAGTGAGTCCAGGGGATCCACCTGTTTCCATCTCCCCATAACTTTGTGTCCATGACTACCACCAAGCCTCGAAAATTCACATGGGTCCTGGGGATTGAACTGTGTCTCTCACACTTGTTCAACAAGGACTTTTACCAGTGGAGCCATCTCTTCAGCCTGGGCACTGGAATGTGGGTGACCTAGAGATTTCCATGGCTCTATGGAGAGAGCTCCCGGGCTATCTGCTGAATCAGGCCCTAGGAATCACTGCTCCTGATGTAACTTTCCACTTGAGCGAAATGAGAGTTCATGGCCCCAGTGACAGATCTCTGTAGTCTAGACAGCAAAATTAAATCCAAACATATTTATAAGCACAGATGCTGTCTGAATGCACACAACTCATTATGAATCACCTATTTATTCTTGCAAAATGCTTTCTCTTTCCTGGGTGTTTGATGTGGAACCTGATGCAGGTCACTCAGACAGACTTGGGTTAAGTTTCTGTAGTCACGAATGGAAGAGGAGAGACAGGGAGAGAAGAGCTGCTTCGGGGGGGACTTCCCGTCGGAGGAGAGATTTGTGAGTAATGACCCTTCTGAAAGGCTCTGCTGCTTGCCCAAGCTAAATTGAGTTTCTAAAACTAGGACAGAATTCTCCCGACTTACTGAGCTATGATGAATTGTTTCTAAAGACAAGGCAAATAAACCCACATGATTCGAGAAAAGAGCAGCTCCCTGCTCTGAGGGGCAGTGTCGTGTTACTCCTTGGGGGTCATCCTAGAGCTGGGGTTTCTTTAATGAGAGTGAATAGTGCAACACAACCTGAGGCTCATCATCCAGAGGTGTGTCTCTTCTTTGTGTGAAGTTTCTAGGAGCTGTGAGGACAAGCAGGGAGAAGGTGAGATTTTCCCTGATTGCGTGGTCACTGACAATGAAGGGAGCGCTCTGTTATATTAGATTCTGTCCTCTTTCTATTTTGAATACAATCCAAATAATAGGAATTCAAGTTTATTTTACCTTTACTTTTGAGAGAATCCACCCACTGGTACACAAGAGAATACTTCTCTTATTTTTCTGTTATCAAGTAGGTGGGGAGAGTGATTGAGGACCCACCTTAACACACACATAGACATGTACACTACCATTAAACTGAGTGTGAGGGCTCACATAGGAAATGGAATTCAAATATGCATGCCTCCTGCACTTTGCCCTTCGTTTTAATGTCGCCCACTAGCCATCAACAGTCTTTTCTTTGTTCTTGGTGCGTGACAGGTTATCAAGACCCACATACTGATGTGGGCTGATGGTGCCGAGGATCTGTTTAACCCATCACTGTTTGATTTGTACAAGCATGGGGTGAGGGGTCACCCGGGCAGGGGTGGGCAAGAGGTGACAGAGGGCTTATTCCCACGTTCAGGAGAGAAGACCGTTGCTGGAAGGTGCTGCCGGGGTGACGTGCATTTGTGTCTAGAATGGCTGGCATGGAAGGCATGAGGAAGAAATGTGATTTC